CTCAACGAAGTGGAGACGCAGTCTGCCTGATGGACACAAAGTCGAGAAGTGGGAAGATGTCGACTCAGACCACCATCTAGTTCAAGGGACACTCAAGGTGAAGCTGAAATCCCTCAAAACAACTGGAGACAGACCACTGTAATTCAAGTTCAACACTCAGAAACTGAAGGACAAAACTACAAGGGATGCCTTCATTACAGTTCACATCATAGCAGTGGCAGAGACACTAAGTCGCATCACAGAGAAAACCTGTGTGGAAGAACATTGGAACTAACTCTCTGAAGTTGATATCCAAGCAAACGTGTACAACTGTTCTAGGAAGTAGGGAGGGACACGACAAGGAATGGCTCTCAACGGACACCTACCTGGAAGCTAATATGAGAGAGGAGAGGAGGCTGATGGAAGAGAAGATGACTCAATGCAAAGATGCACAACAGAAGACGAAGAAGCTGAGTCCAATGTACACTGCACTGAATAAAGAAAGAAGTGAAGAAGAGTGCTAGGAAAGACAAAAGACAATTCTACGACACACTGGCCGGCAACTGAGGCAGAACAGGCAGGCCGCAGGTAAAAGAAACCTCAGAACAATATTTCAGATAACCAGGCTGCTCGCTATCCGGGAAGAGATCAACACAGGCGATGAAACCAGTAAAAGATTCTCCAGGGAAGCTAATTGTCAAGCGGGAGGAGCAAACAAAACAATGGGTTGGTCGCTTCAAAGGACTCTTGAATTGACAATCACCTGAAACTCACCCAGAAACACCAACAACAACTCAGAGCGCGCACAGAACTACCTGCCTGTGTACACCGATCGCCCAACGAAAGCGCAGAAGTCCTGAATGCGATCAAGCTACTGAAGGCCAGCCGAGAAGGCAGCAGGACCACATAGAATTCCATCCGAAGAACTGAAAACAGATTCAGAGATTGTCGCAGATATTCTCACGCAATTATTGCAACATGTTTGTAAAGAAGGTTAGGTGCCTACACATTGGAAGAGAGGTCACCTTGTCAAGCTACCAAAGAAGTGAGGGAGACCTAGTTAGACCTCTGCGAGAACAGTCGTGAAATAGTGCTCTTGTATATGGCAAGTGAAATACTGAGTTGTGTCATCCTGGAGAGAATATAAGATGCACTCGATACAGGATTCCGCCACTCCGACTGAACAAACTAGATTCAGAAGAGGCAAGTCATGTGCTGATCAAACTGCAACTCTACACATTGTCATCATAGAACAAACAGCAGGTGGCAGTCAACTCCCAGTCTACCTCTACTTCATCGATTTCGTAAAGGCCTTCACCAGACAGCGTTGACCGAGAAGTGATTTGGAAATCACTCCAACACTACGGCGTGCAGTGTCCAAATATTTACCAACGTCATTATGACAATGCCACCTGTGAGGTGATCGACAACGGAAACTCAGAGAGGTGTTCGAAGTGGAAACAGGAGTGAGACAAGCTGGCTGCCTGCCTTCCCGTGTGGATGATTTATGTCTTATGTCAACCTTAAGTCAGTTTGGAAATATTCTGCACTTCAATCCGCCTCAGCATAAAGAACAAGGTTCGGAATTTCAACACAAATATAGGTCAGTCAGTCAGTACTTCTCTACAGGTCAGAAAACTGTACTGAGTGTCACAAAAAGGATTTCTATCAGGTTAATACAGACATTAATCAACAGCTTTCCATTTCGCTGGCTACAGAGTGAAGAACACATGGCCAGCCAGAAAGGACTAGCGACAAGAAACTTGGGCTGGCAACAAACAAACCAAGAGCCGATCACTCAACAAATATGTGGGAGAAAATGGAGATCGGTCTAGCATATTTTTTAGGGGGCCATCGAATGACATCGCGCACATTTCAGGCCATTGCTCGAGTGGAATCCCAATGGGAAGCGACAAGTGGCTTGTCAGTGCGAGAGTGACATGGAGGAGATCGTGTGAGGAGGAGATGAAAGATTGTGTGCGATCGTGGACGCAACTGGAGAGGACAGCAGAAAATAGAAGAAAGTGGAGATGCGTCGTCGAAGTCATAATTCCCACTTGGAAACCAAAGGAAAGATAATAATAATAACAATAACATTATTCCCACACCTACATCAGCAACTCCACTTGAACTAGTCACAAGAACTGGTAACTCCCGTATTCTGAATTCACCATTTCAGTCAGGTGGTTTCAAGTGAATAATCACACCCGTGACTTGTTTGTGTGTCTCCGAAACACAACATATATCCATAGCTGAAGACATCAGATTTCTGACCAGTGAGGCAAATTGTCTGATTTCCGTTAAGAACTAGACGTCGAAAGTCTCAAAACAGTGTTGGGAGGAGGGTGTATTAATCATATCTTCACCCTTCGACAGATTCTGGAACAGAGGCATACTTACTGGCGTCCAACAATTGCCATATTTCTTGACCTGAAAGCGGCATTCGATTCCGTCGACCGAGAGGTACCATGGCGATGTTTGCCTGTGAAGAGAAGGCCGAGAAAATACACCTCACTGATCAAGGCACTCACTCTACTCGAACTCATGCAGTCAGTCAGGTGAGAGCCTACGGACAGTTGTCATCTGAAGTGGTGACAAACGGTAGTGTCCATCAGGGATGCCCACTGTCCTCTTTCCTCTCTAATTTCACTAGAGCTGTATTACTAATGCACTTAACCCCAACTGACTTCAGCGACTCAGGGATTGACTTGCTACCAGGGAATAATCTCGTCGAACTAGAATATGCGGATGATGTAGTCCTGCTCCTAGGTGAAGACGCTGACAAAACGCAGAGTCTTCTGAACAACTTGAGCAGAAATCTCCGAATGTTTGGCATGCTGTTTGCTTCCATTAGCGAGCGTAAGATGATGCCACAGGACTGACTGGACTACATTGACTCTTAGCTTCGAAACAGGGAGTGAAGAGGTGACTGAGCGTGCTGACCACTTCACTTATTCGGGGAGATGCGCCAGCCAGTGCAAGCGGGTTCATCCCTGTCAAATTCTCAGCAGGGATACAGAAGGCTAGTTTCGCATATGCCAACTTATGCCATCTCCGGCTTAGTAGACGTGATATCCGGCTGGCTATAGATTGAAGGGCGTGTGTACTGCTCAGCAGTTCGCTCTGTCCTCCGTTATGGCTGTGGGTGAGAATTGGCCATTGAGAGTGGAAGATAAGAAGAGGCCAGCTGTCTTTGATCAAAGGTGTCTGCGTTCTATCTCCCGTGTTAGGTGGTATAATAAGGTGAGCAATATTGAGATTATGCGTCGCTCGAGTGCTAGATGAGAAGGGGAAATCAATCGAACAGGTTGTGAAGTTACACCGATTGAGATGGTTAAGACATGTGTTACGCATGCCTAGCCAACATTTGTCGCCTTCTTCGACCGACGGACGATGTTAGTTGACAGGATGGATCAGGTTGGAAGAGGGCCAGTGGTGGTCAAATGAAAACATGGCTTCCTCAGTTATTTCAATCCAGCCAGCCAGCTAGCAATATTTACAGAATCAAGAACTGTTGAACGACCAGTGTGTAGGATAATACTCACGGTGGAAGGGAAGTAAGAAAATTAGGGTCAGTTATCAACAGTAAAGCTTTATTTTTTTATGGCAGTTTCAGTGTGGTCATTGCTTCCTGGTTACCCACATCGTGGGATATGATCCGCAACGGAACGAGCATTGGTGTTGTGTTAACACAGAGCCGATGGTACAACTGCTTGAAGTCGGTCATATAGCGATTGTTTGACGTGATTTCTACATTTGTTACTGTACGATAATATCACCACTGGATGCGGACTCCAGAAGTTTTATCGGGATGCACAGTTTTCAGGATCGGTGTCTTCTAAGCCAGAGCTCTGTGACTCTAGCTGGAGCTCTGGCTGTCCGATGGAAACACCTTAGTGTTGTAATACCCGTGTTTTCCGATAGTACAACTTCATCTTCGGAACTCTTACTTGGTTTAAAGGGCTTACTCTATGTTGGTAACTACTGTTAGTGTGATCACTGTCCCTACAACCTTTCTGACAAAGTAGGACCTGTAGAAACATTTATCTTAGTTAGTTTTGTTCGTCGAATCATTGTGATATTCGAAGTTGACCAATATGTCAAGGTAGTATTTATCGGTTGGTGTACAAGTTTATCCGGAACGCTTTACGGATATAATTAGAAACATAACATAGATTTCCCTTTATTATTTTGAACAGTGCTGAATAATAGGAGAAAGCTACTAATGATTTAGTAACTGGCGAACACTGTAACTAACTCTGCGTCACATGAATGAATGTGAATGTTATAGTTATCAGCGAAATATTTATATCCTGGTTCGCTCCAAAGGCTTTCACTGTTTCCTTTTTTTGGAGAATAAGAATAATCATTGTCTAGGTGAAAATTTTCTTTGATTCCCGAGGCTGAATATCTTCAATTTCCTGGAAGTCGTTTCCTAAGACTCTTAGCACTCAAGAAAGATGGTCTCATGAATTTCTTATGACTGACGTTAAAATGGGAGCAGTAAATATCAATATAAGATTTAGGAATGATAAGTAGAGAAAATGATCGTTAGTAAATTAAGGGACAGAAATAGGTTTTGAATAAAATTATTCAGAAGTAGTCACTAGACATTTGATTAGTATATTAATTATACTGAATAATTCCCCCAATCAATTCCCTTTAGCTTAAGATTTGAAATCAGAAGGACTTCTGACTTCTACGCCATTGATACCAGAAGCCAATAGTATGATGCACTAGTCAGCCTCCTGAAAAAACCTTCCAGCAACACCCACTGTAACTACCATGGTATGTTGAAGTAGATAATAGATGAGGCCACATAATACCTGCCCTGGTCAACTTAGTAGTTATTGAAACACTTCTCTCATCAAAATTATGTACGTTCACTATTTTAAATCACTTCCATCTTAGTGAAGTGCATGTTATGCTATGTATAGAATGTTATTTTAAGGACTTTGGATTACTCAGATAATTCGTTATGCCTTTTATTCCATTAAAATGATGAATTACTGACAACTTACTATCGTTAAGTGGGCCATTAATTCTCTTGACATTGCTAGTTCCTTCCTGATTTGATGTAGCAATTTCAGTTACACTGAAATCTTTTGATCTCACAGAAATATTTGGTTTATAATCTGTTGTGTCATCATTATTCTGCTCTATTTTTGCTAAATGATATTTTTCGTCTCTGTTCGAATCGCTTAAATCTTCACAGCTATTTTCACTTATTGTTCTTGAAATAACAAGCTGTGAATGAAAATTAACACGAGGCTTCCTTTTTTGATAATCTTCAGCGGAAGACTCCTTTTCTTTTAATAATTCAGCGTTAAGTTCAGCAACACGTTTTCTAATGTATTCGCTAGAACCATCGGAATCATCAGTTTCATCATCGGAGATATTCGAGCTGCTGTAGTCATACTCATCGCTTAAATGAGGCTGTTTCTGACCACTGGTAAGCTCTGGTGATTTGGAGGAATTTTGGATGCAAATATCTGATGTCAGTGGGTTGATCTCACTTTTCTTTGAACCTACTTTTTGGTATAAAATATGAAATCGACATAAACAGGTCAGTCAGGTATTAAAAGAAGCATATTTCGTATTATTCAGATTTATGTCTTACTAATATGTTTCGTTTTCCTAAAAAACTTTTTATAAAGTAACAAAGTATGAAGTAATAAACAATTATTGGAGTCTGTATTATGTGAAGATATTTCAGATGATATTTTAAATTATCCTCATAATTTGAAGGAGTTATATGCGTGTTGACCTCAACAAATATAAAAATTTTGTGTGGTAACAGTTGAAAACGGAAGCCAGAATGAACGCTTCGTTCTATTCAAAGCTCATCAGTTGAATGTGCTTGTGTGTTAATCAAAAATTTAATGTGGTGATTGTTGTTTCATACTAGTTATTTAATAGTCTGTCCAGCTTCAATAGCCATCTCTGACGTTATTCTGTTATTTATTTATTTATTTATTCGTGCAATTTTCATTTGAACGATAACTAGTATCTGGAAACTGAACTTTTACCACTTGTTTATTTAGATTAATTGGTTCGCTACTCCGTATTACCTATGTTCACTGTTATGCAAATGAATTCTGATTGCAAGGCATGGTACTTATTAGCATGTTAACTAAATATCAGATTATCAAAAATTATTAGAGACTGAATATAATCCTTTATGACTATTGTTTTGAACAGTTTAGGGAATGAGAATTTATTAGGTTGGGTTTTGTGAGTATTAACGACGATTATTTAGACACTTTAAGTAACGTCTCCGGTTGGACATTGTCCTACTCTATCCCTATATAGACCGTTTCGAGAGTTTTAGTAAAGCATATTTTCAAACTCTGGGAAACTGATGATTTCTTGGGGAACGAAAAGCCAAACTGTCTGCTTCTCATTTCTCATTTATCACTTGTCGAAATGAATTGAGATTAATAGCAATACCCTATTCTTTATCCTCTACTGAAGAAGAAGAAGCAGTTTATCTAACTGACTGAGTTTCAACATAGGACTGTGAACAGAAGTTCAGCGATTCAAGCTTCCACACTCCATGTAGCACACAGAGACAAACAAAAGAGAAAAAGTGGTCCGAAAGGACTACAATAAGCAGAAAATTGAGGGAGAAAGAAAAATAACATAAAAAGAAATTATGGTTTATTAGATATGACAGATCGCAAAGAGTGAGTACACCTACGCCAGTGAAAACGATTTTCAGTCATATTTCTGATAGTTTTCAACCGTTGGTTCCTAGAATATCGTGGAGCTCGTCCGTGCAGTCAGTACCTCCTTACTTGACTCAAACTCACCGTTAAAGGTTTCATAGTCTGATTCCAAGTTTTACTTTGACCACCACTACCTCTTTTCCAACCTGATTCCATATCAGCTAACATTTCCTGTTGAGGAAGGCGATGGCTGGCGATGAGCAACATATGTCCCAACCACATCCACCGACTTTCACTCCTTACCTAACACTCAACGCTTAAACGTTTTACGACTTAGCTCTTGACTGATTCTTTTTCTAACGCATCCAGATGCTGAACTCCCACTAAGGATTTGATTCAAAAATGTTCCCAAAAAGATTTTTTCGACTTCTCAACTTCACTCTCTTCACAGAAACATGATCACTTCACGAACATTCAACACCCCATGTACTTATAAATCATCCTAAATAAGACCAACGGAAAACTGAGCACAATGATTAGTGAAAATTCTAGCAATAAGAATAAAAATCATTCAAATCACTCTTGTAAAAAATATTTTTCACTCTTCACTTTAAAGAATGAAATTATAAAGAGCTTTTTGATATTCGGTTGAAACGTGATAGGGAAAATGTACTACATGTAGTGTGCTTAGACCACGTGGATCAAAATGAAAATTTCTGTTTACAGCTTGTCATTACACCAACACTACCACAATACTTTTTATACAACACTACCTATGGCACATACACCTCGCAAATATGTATTATTAAATAACAGAACAGTTAAATAAAGCAACTATCAATTGAATGCATTTTATTTAACCGATACAAAAAGACTTAAGAAGAAGACATACAAACAAATAGTACTTTTCAGTGAAATTCGGCTTAAGCTATACTGCATTAATAATACTCCATCAAAAAATATTAAACCTGGCACTTATTTATACTCAAAGGTGTGTATTAGAGTAAAGCTTAAACTGAAAATAACAGTGCTGGCTTAAATGTCTCGTTCTAATTTTCAGTTAGGAGATGCATAATAATTTAAAAATATATAATAATTCAATTTTTATAGCCTAACCTGTGTTGTTTTTATTCACTGTTGTGTAACTACCTTGGGTTTTATTCTTTTCTTTGTCGTCTACATCACAGGATGTTGTTTTTATACTGTTGTTGCACTTTGCATTTGACTCTTAATTCAAAAAGAATAAATTTAAATTGTTTTTTAGTTTTAAAGTAATAAAGAGTATTTACCATAAGGATGACCATGATTCTTCTCAAATAGTTCAGTTGGCATAAGGCAACTAAATAATGAAAGTTTAAAACATATTTCGGATTAAACTTGTTGGTTTATTTAGTTGCAATAATTCAAAACAACAAGTGGAAATTTTCAATATTTAGTCCATCTTATAAACATGACATAACTAACCATTTTAAATTACAGCGTTTGGTCACTCTACAGTAATGTGGGTAACACTGTCTGATTGAGTTCTGTCGTCAACATTCCATTGTTAATAGTAAGTTTGATGTCACACTATCACGGTGCTCTCTGATTTGATTCAGGTTGTTTTTCATCATTTTGGAGTGAACAGTTTGACATTATTTCTTATCTAGTAACCAATCAATTTATATGATGCAAACCACTAGGAGGTCAGCTTATTTCTGAATAATTTAGGGGTGCCATTTCTGATTTCACTGTTGAGTCACCTGTATTTGAATATCTGAGAGTGTTTCAGCTCTCTAAAAGTTGCTTACAAGCCTTGCTTACAAACACTAGTAGGTAGAAGAACGACAGATTTACTGTTCGTTATCTCCGCTTGCTCACCAGGGACTTCCATAATATCCTTAAATGGTTTTCTCATCCCTTAAAGCCCGTTTATCTCAGTCTTTGGTGCACTTTAAACTATTCTGTTTACGTCACTTTTAGTGCTCCAAGAACATTCAGGGAGGCCGTCGAAAATTCGCTTAATGTTTACTTCTGACTAATCTAACATACGAGTGTGCGCATAAAAGTAGAGAGAACAAATATAATGAAATTAGGGTGGACCCGGATTTGTCGGAGAGAGAATAATTAGATGAAGATTTCTAAAATCTGGAACTTTCTGTTTCACATTCGCTCAATTACTTTGTTGGTTATAAAGTGGTTATGACGTACAACAAAGTGATGCAATGTATTCTTCTGTACACTAAAACTACTGGTTTAAGGGCAGTCAATTAACTGAAATTAAAGCTGAGATCTCCAGTTGCTGCTATTTATTTTAGACATGAAATGAAGGAAAAGTTTTACATATTACGTCTCCAAAAGCAAAAATACGCGACGGTTTTGAGTGAGGCATAAACATCTTTTTGTAGGTTCTAATCCTGACATTAGTACACCAGTTCATTATAACGGACAAATTTCATTAAGCATTAAATAAAACACTTTAGCGTAAACAAATTAGCTACAATCGTCAACGCACCATGATGGTTTTCCCATTTTAATTAAGATTAGTATTTTTACCCCAAAACATGACTGAAATGAAAATGTACCATGGTGTTTAGTAGTTAATTAAAATTTTATTTACAACATGCTATTGATTTCATGCATCATTCAAGACGTGAACAGGAGAAACTTTATTAAAACGAAGTAATTTACACTGGTGTAATTAATTGTCAGAAGCGCATAAAATGAATACATGACGAATAAACAATTGGAATTAGGACATTTATATGGAAATTTACTGAGGGTAACATATTAGAAATAATGTCTATCAAGGTAAAGTATTCTCTTTCAAATTAGCAATTAACAGCAATTAATTATTAACTCCAGTACGCTTTAGCCTAAGACAGTGAAATAAGATGTAAATTCTGAACTTGTCTAACTGACTTCGGCAGGCAGTTTTGAGTCATTCACGATACCAATTAAAAAATATTTTTAGTGATCTTTAAGTTTTTGTTGGAGAAAAAGTTCACGCCCTGTAGTACTGAAAAAATCAAGTTTAATTTCTCTCAAAAATATAATGTTACCGAAACTACAGTGACATTTGAGTATTTTTGTCTTTGTTAAATAATTACTGAATGAATATGATTCGAAAATTTTAATCTTGAAAATATTGCCACTCTAATTACGTGTTCTTTATTATGATATTTCTGTTCATGTGCAACCAACCGGAGATTTTCACTAAGTTTCAAACTATTGAATTAAGTGTTCGTTAGTTCAGTGACTTTTGATGTCTATACACATGTTCGCTTTCCAGATTAAATAACTACAATAATTTTCCCTAGTAATTGATTAACTGATAATAATGGTATTAATAACTACGATGACCATAGGTTATATGCAGTATTTTCAATGAGTAATAAGAATACGTACTACATGACAGGATAAAATCGCTGGATAAAAGATCTTAACATTAATGAATGTACAAGAAATCTCAAACTCTTCACGTGGTAAAAGCGAATAAAAAGTTCAGCAATTATTACTGTACTGGAGCCTAAAAAGTTTGAAATCAAAATTTAAACTAGTCTGACCGCTTATTGACGGTCCAAAGATATTTGTACTTGGTATTTATGCTTAACATTTATCAGCATATCAAATTGAGTAAAATGCTGCTTCAAAGTGATCCTTTCATTTATTGTTTAGGGGGGGGGCACAGACAAAATGAACTTTCACTTTAGGCAACGACTTGCGGTGTTTTCAGTACCTGACCACGTAAATCTTAGCAGCTACTGTAGGATTTAAGAACATCAACCAGTGGTCAATAGTCAACTTTACTGACCACTGACTCATAAATTAAATATCATACTGCAATAAGTCTGCTATCCTACTGCGACACAAAAGTTTATTTTCATTTTCAGTGACTGGTGTATATTGCCTGTCGAACCCCATAAAATATATTTTACACAGCATTTTAAGTAAAATTCCATTTTTTGAAGAAGACTATAGTTTGCTTCCCAGAAATGACTTAATTTACTAGCTATATTCATCACCTAAGTTTTTTCAGCACTCTTAAATGCAAATTCTTTAGAACTAATAAAATGTCTTTCCTTATTTAACTAACTATGGTTTATTCGCCAGACGTCTCATGCATAAACATTGTTACAAAATGATATATATGCCGCATCCGGAATTAAATCAGTATTAGTCATATAGTCACAGTCACATTCTAAGAATACAATAACACATGTCATTGTCATTTAATCTTATAAGATTACATAACAATGTGGACAGTGAGATTATGTGCTTTTTGCGCTTTCTGGAGAATGGCTTATAGGCCAGTCGGGATTATATAACGTGAACATATATCGATATAGCGTGTATCACCGATGATATATAATTTGGATCCAAATTAGTGATGATCATCACTAATTTGGATTGAGTTAAAAGGTAAATAACTCTGAAATTTTCATATAACATACCAAGTAATTCGATTTCTTCAATTTGTTATATCTAGTGTGTCAGTCTCCTAAATGTATGAAATTGGAAAAATGTGATTTGATTAAGCGGTAGTGACATCATTTTGAAAAGTAGTCGCTTATGACTGTCATGGTAACAAACTTCAAGTTCCAATACCCAATGACTTACGAGCTAGTAAAAACCAGTTTGATTTCTTTGTGCTCACTTCTTCATTGAGAATAAGATTTATTGATAGAGTATACAAGTCCTGAATCCAGTGTTTATCGTTTCCAAATAATGTTGTGTGCTTACCTTTAGCCGATCAACTAAGAACTTGACACCACTTCCAGGAGTTGGTTCCAAGGGTTCGGTGGGAAATTTAGTACTCCACAGCGATATAGTTCTTACTTGACTTCTGACCTCCCCTGCTATGTCCTGTGAGATATCTTGACATGGTTGGAGGGGAAGGGAAGACAGATATGTTCCATAGACATTTCTCAGAATTTTAAAATTTCAATGTATCCTGTATGTCTGCAGTGTGATAATGTGGAGAGATTTAAACAGATAAACTTTTCACCATGTGACTAAATAGTTATGGCAAAAGTCATTCTTGCTAATCTCACTTGAATCCTTTCTAGAATGTGAGTCCACCTTAAGACCAAAGCTGGCTGTCTACAGGAAATTTTCCAGCCTTGACATCACAACACTGTATGTCACTGGTGATTCTCTGCCACCGAATTACGACTAGCATTCTCAAGCCATCTGCTGGTCTTAAACAACTCCATAGATAAACTATTGCGTTTGACAGACGGTGTATCTACCCATTTACTTGCTAACGTGGAGCGAGATATCTATGTGTCTTTCGATGCATTCTTTATCTAAGAGTCAAAGAACACTATCCTGCTTACCTACGGAAAGGTAACAGTAGATCAAAAAAGAGTGCTATAGTTGAACACACAGTCAACACTGGTCACTAAACATGTGAGGATAATTCATTCAAAGTCATCTGTAAAGTCAAAAGAAGCCTCTCGAAAACGGTAAGCTTCCGTATAATTTGCACTGCCAAGGCCTTAGTGATCCGGATAGAAAACCCTGATTTATGTGCACAGAAGAAACTTCTCCTACCCTCTACTTTATTAATATTGTTTTTTTTAAATTTTCGTATGACAACTCAGTGACATCTTCTAAACTATCCTTTTATTGACTCTTTCTACTTACCACATAATTCATGTAGGACAGGTGTCTCCATGCTCATTCACTACTATTCCATTTCATGTGACCCGACCACTGTCAATACTTACCAATCTTCATTCCACCCTCCGTAGTTACAATCTGATTATTCATCACATTTTTGAAGCATTTTGATGACGTGGACAGTAACCTTAACGAATTTTTATTTCTGCTTGACAATACTAATGTACACACACAAAATAATTGTATATAAGTGCGACTGTACAGGCAAGTGAGTCAATTAGCAGAAAAGATGCTCTTCGTCGAACTTTGTCGTTATTATATTCATGTCTGGATGGGGTATTTTCCGCGGATTGTGGTAAACGCTATACATATTGCTCGTAATAATCCAAAACTTCCGGCTTCTGTCGCATGCCAGTATACCGTAGCTTTTAAGACTCACCATGACACCTAGATACATAATAGTCTAAACTGACTGGAGTGCTATTACCTATAATCCCTACGAGTTGACCCTTACATGTAAATTGCTCCTGGCCGCCGACTTCAATGCATTGACTGGGAGCATTAAAACAGTACGTAGAAATCTCGAAAAGTGATATAATTACCATTCTTTAACTATCTCGAAATTTTAAGGTCACCTACGTTGAAGACCATTAGGGATTCCATGAAACGAAGTAATTCTTTGACATACAAGGTAGGTAAGAGTGAACCCACAGTCTACCATTGTCCAG